GACTCCGGAACTACGAATAACTTTCCCTATACTTTCCTGTGAAACATTCAGTTATTCATTTAAATATCCCCCTCAAACGGTTCTCTATGGGCAGAATATGTTATGTTAATGAGCATTTGAAGCTTCCTTTTAAGCTATGTCAAGCTGGGCTCATGTGGTTACACTGTTTAGTTAGCGAAATTTTGCCACGTCTTTGGCAGGTGTGAAGATTATGCCGGTGTAAACTTGTTCTATTAACGGCCGAAGGTCAGGCATATGCAAGCCTTGAACCTTGTAGCAACTGGTTTTTCAGCAAAAAATGCTACTGAGAACAGAAATTAATCCGGAAACAATATCAGTCTGCATTATCGCACAGTCTTGCTTGCCAATAAAAAAAAGGGGGTAATTTCTTGGTTGTGTACAAATTGGTACCCTTCGACATAACTGCCCATAAAAGTGCTGAGAAAAGATTGTACGCATTTTTAAAATTCATTAGCAAAATTATTTACTGCCAACTGGCACCGGTCACCTAAAAGCATCTCTAGTACTTGTCCAGAAAAGAATTCTTGGCGGGAAAATTCCTAACTCCAGCTCAGCACAAGGTCCACAGTGGTAGAAAATGCCACCATCTGAGAATATTATTTCCTGTCTTAAATTGAGTTCACGGGCATAGAAAAGGGTTTCAGTGCCAGAATTAGCTCACCCTTTTCTGTATGGTGCATAGTTTAACATAATAATAAAGCATGTCAATTTGAAAAATTGGGGAATCCCACACATTGTGGGAATCAATTTAATGTGATCCAGTTGGCGAGTAGCAGCCTGTGCAACCTTTTTTGCATTGAGCCAAGCATTATGAGGTGAATCAATGTCTTTGCATAAATTAAGAAATAAATCTGGGGTCTCCCACTAGAGATATTCATAATTATGTTTTGGTGTCACCACTTAAGATATTGAGGTTTCTATCGCTCTGTCTATATCACTTTGGACGTCTGGCTGGACCATCTCGTGGCCAGACTCGCACGAGATGAGGCGCGGCGGATGGCCCACATGCGGATCGCTTGGCAGTGGTGACGTTCGTTGTGCTTGGCCCGAGTGGGCAAATCGGATCGGTAGGCAGGTGTCAGATCCACCACGCCACGAGCGCGCACTGCACAGAAGTCATCGCAGTAATCAAGGCTATACCGTATTGTCCCTGCTCCAGGCACTCTCAGGGTTCCGGACGACCGACCCGAGAATTTGAGAAATAAACTCTGGTGGGATGTTTCCGCTGTCACCTCAATTCCACTCTACCACGTGCCAGGGCATTCGGGACTTTTTGGCAATGAGCTGGCGGATTTTCTCGCTGCACGTGCGGCCCAATTGGCCGACATATGAGACAGGCTACCCTCACTACGAGGACGGTCCGCAGTGCCTTGATGAGGCAGAAACTTTGGCATTTCACGCGTATGGGGTTCTACACGTATTGGGCGCACCTTTTGGTTCCCACTTAACAAAGCCCCATCACTTTCTTAACAGGGCACAGTCAGTTCTACTTGTATACTTTCACAGGTTCAACCTGCTCCCGGAACCGGTCTGTTCGTGTGGCGCTGTTTGCGACGGAACCGATCACTATATATCTGTTTGATTGTCTCCTAACCCGACATCTGGTAACACAAATCTAGCCGCGCGCTGATTACCAGCAGAAGAGGTAGGCCTTTCTAGCTGCTACGATACGCACAGAATTGCGCGCCGATTCCTGACCTCAATTGAGCACGTAGCCTGCGAAAGCTATGCAGAGAGGAAAAAAAAAGGAGGGGAGGTGGGGTCAGTGGACAAATTCACACCCGCATGAATGGAATGATGTGGATGTGGAGCTGTCCTGTACGCTACACTGGTGAGGGTGAGAGCCACGGCGGCCTCTGCCTCCTGCATTGTCCTTGTCTGCGGGCACACACTACAATTAAACTGTGATGCCATATCCTCGCTCAACGGCGGCCTACTGGCACCTCACAACCACCTTGGTGAACGTATGGACTCACCCCGGACTTGAAACAGTGAGGGCAAGAGGACTGGTGGCAGGGTGTTTGGACAAACGCCCGGCAGTGTTTTTTTCTTTAATCTTCTATCATTCTTTTCTCTGTCCTTTTGGTTTGGTACGCAGTCATGGACGAGGCCTCCAGGCACCTAATGATGCCCTGTAACTGCCAACGGTTGAGGGGCAGGTTTTTTTTTTTCTTACCCTCCGCCATCTGCTCGGCTTCTTCTCTATTTTCTTTCCTCTTTCGTTTTTCCCTCGCTTTTAATTTCTGATATCTTGTAACCTTATCATTTCTTGCTGGGCCTGTCCCGGCTAAGTCCCACTGGTCAATTACTAAATGCTCCATGAGGCTTATGTCCCCGTTGAGCCCTAGGGAGACTAGTGCACTACCTTTGCCCACTTTTTTTTGTCTAATTGGCTGCCCTATGTATAGCTTTGAGTTTTAATTAAATGCCCCTATATATTTAGTTCACATTGGCTTTAAACCTGGTATGCTTATGCAGGGACAGGTTTTTCCCTCACCTTTATTTCTTCATTTCTTTTATCAAAGGTGGGAATGAAGTTTGGAATGAAATGGGTGTGGGCAAGTGCTGATGTTTCTTGATAGGGGCAAGTGCCCCTTCTGCACCCCCTGCCAATGCCCATGCAGCCATGCAGTTCATTTAAACAGCAAAGCACAAGTCTATCATCATTGCAAAGATATTTTTACATGACAGCTGTCGGTACTACTCAGCCATTTTTTGATGCAGGAATTGTGATGTAACATCATTAGAACATGCAAATATGACTGCAGATACAATAAGAAAAGAATAGTTCTGTGACAGAATAAAAGTTCCACAGGGGTGCTTTGTTTTACTGGATACTGAAATGGTGGCTTGTAGAGGCCATATTATTCCAGCTTACTTTTATGTGAGCCTCGGTTATGGTTCCATTGCATTGCATTGCATTGCATTATTGCACTCAGTTGTGGTGCCGTTCAGGCCCTCAAAAAATAATGGTAAGCATGGCCGTGGTGTTGCAGCTGAGCAGCACCAGCCAACTTGCATTGAGTTTGCTTTGTGTTTTTCAGTTCTTGAATTTGATTTGAATTTTGATGGTGCAGATGCATGACAAATAAATGGGTGGCAAAAAAATGGTTCTACGTACCCTAAATTGCTTTAATGTATGAGCTTTAATATTATAGCTGAATGTGCTCACATTTTTTAAATAGATCCAATACAAGTCAATGACTTGCAGCCCAGCATTCACTCAGACCCGTAAGCAAGATTGTGATGTACCATTGTGGCCGTCATATATATTTGGGTTCCAAGGAGGTGTAAGAATGACGTTCGAACATGTAGACCAGGAAGGGACTGCCAGAGCCATTTCTTTATTACAAAAGTTCGTTCTTGTTCCCCTATTAACTGTGGCCCATACCTACTTCAGCCATAATTCCTCGTCATCAATCACTGCATAAACAATTGGCACAAAATTCCTTGTTAGTATTTAGCGGATATACCACACTTCTCAGAAGAATGACGAAAAATAGCATAGCGAATGCCGGCCTACTACCCCCCAAAAGTTATTATTAATGCACTAGTGGGTATCAAGCAAGTGTGCTTGCAGTAGTTACCCAATCAGTGTTTTGAACATGCTTTGTCTGAAAGGCCGCTTTTCTAGTTTTCGCTGTGACTGTGCTGCGCCTCGCCATGGCATACAGAGTGAAAAATAACCACTTTAAGGGGGTGATTGATTGATATGTTGGGTTTAACGTACCAAAACCACCATATGATTATGAGAGACGCCGTAGTTATGCCACCATACCGTAGTGGAGGGCTCCGGAAATTTCGACCACCTGGGGTTCTTTAACGTGCGCCCAAATCTGGGCACACAAGCCTACAGCATTTTCACCTAGACCACTGCGGCGAAACCATTTTAAGAAGATGCCTCCCCCCCCCACTTCCCTCGAAGAAATTTCTGGCTACGCCCTTGTATGCTATCGCTTATGGCAATGATATTTGTCAAACAACATTTTATATTCCTACTGTTACTGTAGAGAGAAATGCAATTGAGAGGCCTGTGTACATAAATTTATGCACTTTAAATAACCCGCGGTTGGTCGAAATTTCCGAAGCAGTTTTCTCTCTCTCGCTCTCCAGCATGCGTGCGCCTCACAATTGATCATACCGTATTTTTTGCAAATGCCAAAATTACGATATGATTATTATATTGTGAACAATTATATTGTGAACTGATAAAGATTGTGCATGACTTGTGGACCTGCAGCACTCCCAACATATAGGATAGAGTTAATATACCTCTATGTATAGCATATAGCCCTGCAATCTTAGAAATCGTGTCCCCAGGACCTGTTTTACGTTTCTTGCTTGCAGAATTTTGTCGAAGTTATGCCGCTAGTTACTAGGCTGCGGCAGCTGCATTTTCGATGGAAGCGGCTGCATTTTCGAGGCTCGTGTACTTGGATTTACATGCACGTTTAAGAACCCCAGGAGGTCAAAATTTTCGGAGCCCTCCACTGCGGCGTCTCTCATAATCGTATCGTAGTTTTCGGACGTTAAACCCAGATATTAATTAAACAAATTGTGGTCTCGATAAGGCGCAAGATTCCATGTCACGGGGACGGCCGTTGTAGCAAATGCGCTACTGGAAAGGCAACTAACAGTAGTACAATTCCGAAGCCTGCGGACGTTGAAGTTCACTTTGAAGCACACATGCCGCGATTATCACGCGGGCCGATGATGTAATTATGCATATTTTCTTTGAAACCGAAAGTCAGCAAAAGATCTCGACGGCGGTTGAATAAGTGTTCAAAATTCGCGGTAAAATGGTCACTAGGATTTACTCCTTATCACGAAAGAAGGCGTTGGTCTAGATTATAGGTTGGTTTACTGTCCACAAAAAAAAAAGCTTTGTGACAGAAAAAAAAAGAACTATTCAATTTTGCTTCACATGCCAACCTGCAAAATGTTATGACGATCACATGACATCCGCGTTGAGGCAGGCACATTCGCAACTTCGGTGGACTAGCTTCGGCGTGCCTTGCCTTCGCTGGCTTCGCCTACTAGCTCTAGGACTGAAGCTGTGAAGCAGCGGTCTACAAAATGACAGGCCGGCTTCCAGCGATCGTCATTGATAACGGCACAGGGTGAGTTTGTTGGTCTGCTCCGAAATAATATCAATGAAACACATCCCATAGAGTTCATGTGGTAGTTTTAAACTGTCTTGACCTCTCCTGCACGACAGAGCCATCAGTGGGGCGGCTGTCTCGATTTCTGTCGCTAGCTGTTTTGGTTTTCTCTTATGTTATCATTGCTTACCGTGTGCGCATGAGTATGTTGGTAATCTAAAGTTCGTGTTTTGCAATCATCGTCGTATTATAATTATACGCGCAGCAGTTCATTTGTGCTACATTCGTTGCGAGGGAAGGGTGTGTCAACGCAACACTTCAGTAGTCTTCTCCGGGCTGCTATAACGAATTACCCTATGCAAATTCTAGCCGGCTTTCACTTCACGCTTGAATTGCGTGCTGCTCCAAGTACGAGGACGCTGCTGATGACTGTAGCACTGTTAATAACTGCTGAAGTGAAACCGGTGCTCACAGGAAGCTGCAAGTGTTCTTATCTCGTTTAGCGAGTAGGGGCGCCTCTCAAGAATAAAAATTTCGCAGTGATTATATAGAATCCCGCTTTCGCTGGTTTCATTATAAAAATAATAAGGCCTCCCGAGTAGAGCCCTCTTGCAGCGGTTCATCTCGACAATTTTTTTTACTCTACTATTAAGGCGGTGCTGAAAAAGTCGAGCGTTTCCTGCATGAGCAATGCCTTCATGCGTGCGTCATCGTGTTGTCTGGTAATAAAATATCTAATTTGTACACATACATCACAGGCTCTAGGATGGAGCTTGTGATGTATGTATTCGATATGTAATGCTAAACAGTATCAAACATGCAAAGTAATAAGTTTGAAGGATAAGTATTTGTCAATACGATGTGGCAAGAGAATGGACGCATAATTGCGTGGTGGTAGCGGAAGTATGATAGATTGTGAATTGGTGCCACTCTTTTTTTTTTTTCAGTTATACAAAGCTCGGATTTGCTGGAAATAAAGAGCCGCAATTTATTATACCATCTGGTAAGTGCTAATTAATCATGCCAAAGTCGAGCATTCTTGTTCATTTTATCGTTTGGTGCATCCCGCAGCAATAGCGATACGAGAGAGTGCTAAAATTGGAGACCAAGCTACTAGAAGGTTAGCGAAAGGCATTGATGATTTGGATTTCTTCATTGGTGATGAGGCCTTGGATGCTGCTGGCTATGCTGTAAAGGTGAGATTAAACTTACTATATGCTTATTGCGTGTTATGCTAGCCGGTCGTTTTGCCAGAACTTGGCAGTTGATGTCACGCAGAGAATTTAATGCGTGTTTGTTTACTTCACACTAACCTAGAGTTAGAACAATTCTAAACACCGAGAGGGCCAACACTAACCCAAAACTTAGTGAAACATATTGCATTGTAGGTATTTTTCTTTGCCTAATCTAACCTTTAAAGTCTGTAGAGGGTGCTAGCTGTTGTAGGACCAACTGATTCAAAGCTATGTTGACATTTCTTGCATTGCTTTATAGTACCCAATTCGTCATGGCATTGTGGAAGACTGGGACTTGATGGAGCGCTTCTGGGAGCAATCTATATTCAAGTACCTAAGAGCTGAGCCTGAGGACCATTACTTTTTATTAGTGAGTATACATGGTTTTGTGACGCTTTGTAAGTGTACCACCTTCTCTAACTATAATTTTCAAAAGATTGAAACAGTGCATGTTCCTTGCCATGCCGTATTAGTGGCTACATTGTATTCGCAATGCCCATAGATTTCGGGAGTGGAATCAAGGAGCGTCCTCTCAAGGCGGGTCAGTAGGCAGACACTCTCTTTTTTGGCTGTGCTAGCCTCAGTACTAACGCGTGAGCAAACGATGAGCTCTCCAACTTTGCATGTTTCCTGCATTAGTGAACAAACGGGACCCTCCGCAACACGATAAATTTCATTTGTTCTTGTGACACGCGAAGTTTTTGTGAAATACGGGGCAACTAGCACTTTCGATGATAGCCTACAAAGTACCCATATCAGCTTCGCAAGGTTTTCTGTAGCTACGTAGGTTACTTAAATGTTATTGATAAGACTGACTTTTTCAGTTTAAACTAGCCTTGCTTAACTTGCATATTGACAGTATATGATACATAATATCAATCAGGTAATAGAGAAATGCTGAGAATATAACCGACCACTATACATAGTTTTCATAGATTACGAGAAGGCGTTTGATTCAATAGAAATATCAGCCGTCATGCAGACACTGCGTAATCAGGATGTTGATGAAGTATATATAAACATCCTGGAAAAAATGTACAGGGGATCAACTGCTACCATAGTGCTTCATAAAGAAAGCAACAGAATACCAATCAAGAAGGGTGTAAGGCAGGGGGACACAATCTCCCCAATGCTATTTACCGCGTGCTTACAGGAGGTTTTCAGAAGCCTAGAATGGGAACAGTTAGGGATAAGAGTTAATGGAGAGTACCTTAGTAACCTGCACTTCGCCGATGACATTGCATTGCTGAGTAACTCGGGGGACGAATTGCAACTCATGATTACGGAGTTAGACAAGGAGAGCAGAAAGGTGGGTCTTAAAATGAATCTGCAGAAAACAAAAGTAATGTACAACAACCTCGGAAGAGAGCAGCGCTTCGAGATAGGTAATAGCGCACTTCAAATTGTAAAAGACTGTCTACTTAGGGCACGTAATAACCGCGGAACCGAACCACGAAATTGAAGTAACTAGAAGAATAAGAATGGGGTGAAGCACATTTGGCAAGCACTCTCAAATTATGACAGGTAGATTGCCACTATCCCTCAAGAGGTAGGTGTATAATAGCTGTATCTTGCCGGTACTTAGCTACGGAGCAGAAACCTGGAGACTTACAAAGAAGGTTCAGCTTAAATTGAGGACGACACAGCGAGCAATGGAAAGAAAAATGGTAGGTGTAACCTTAAGAGACAAGAAGAGAGCAGAGTGGATTAGGGAACAAACTGGAGTTAAGGATATCATAGTTGAAATCAAGAAACGGAAATGGACATGGGCCGGGCATGTAGCACGTAGACAGGATAACCGCTGGTCAATAAGGGTAACTAACTGGATTCCCAGAGAAGGCAAGAGGGTTAGGGGGAGACAGAAGGTTAGGTGAGCAGATGAGATCAAGAAGTTTGCGGGTATAAATTGGCAGCAGCAAGCACAGGACCGGGCTAACTGGCAGAACATGGGAGAGGCCTTTGTCCTGCAGTGGACGTAGTCAGGCTGATGATGATGATGAACTTCCATATAGCATTTTTCACTGCTTTTGTGTGCATGAATTTCATTTCATTGTACGTAGAAAGTCGCGCTAGCTCAATTTCAAATTGGCGAGCACTTTGCCACTTGTTTTTGTGTGTTTTTATAGATAGCAGCACAATGCTAGCGATGTGCTTGTTGATGGGTTTTAGAGCGACATTGGCGAAATGTTCTCTGTGCCCAGATAATTGTGGTGACGTAGTGTTGTTGTTGTGTTGAAATAGTTCGGCGGAGGGAATTCTTCAGATTGCTTTCAGCAGTGACATTGAAACAAACCATTTTGACGGTGAGAATTTTTCGCTGGTCGTAGAAGGCTATGAACACACTGAGAGTGATAGCGATGATGAACAATCGGCTAATGCATGAGGAGAGAGTTGCACTTCATATTCCCTGATGCATTAATAATGCTTTACGCTCATAAGTCACTTTAATTGTATTTAATGGATCATATCCTTCAGCGAGGTCAAAATAAAAGCATAGTTTTTTTTTTGCTCTGCATGTAGCACAATTACTGTGGATATTATGGAGCGCCCCAGCTCAACCAGCAAAGGAAAATAGTTATAGTGATGAAATGTGCAGTTAGGGCTACAATCCACGCCTCTCTGCTAACTTTTCCTGTAAAGCCAGTACCTTCTGAGTGGCATTGTTGTTAGATGAATTTTTGTCATTTCAAAGTTGCAAAAAGCATACGTGTGTATTCTTTCCTGTATTCATACTTCGATCTCACCGATTGAATTAGCAGCATCAGAGTGTAGTGAATGGCGCACGACTAGTCTGAGCATGGCTCTGACACAACGCTGCTTAGTGGGATTGGGCCACAAAACTCCACTAATCAAACAAAATGGCTGAAACTTAAAATCATGCTTCAAATTTATTTCAGACGGAGCCACCACTAAACACTCCGGAGAATAGGGAGTATACAGCAGAGATAATGTTCGAGTCCTTTAATGTGCCTGGACTCTACATAGCTGTCCAGGTGAGATTCTTGGCATGTGAATTCTTCATATCTAGTAGGAACCATGTCTCTTATAGATTAGTGCAAAAGTGCACTACTGAAGTTTCCTTATAGTTGAGTAATGAAATGGCAAAAGCACTTCGAAGTGCATGACTGCAATATTAGCAGTATCTAAGGCTCATTGGAATTTGTCTAATCATTACGTTTGGTTTTATTTTGCCGCAACATGAATCTTGCTGTTGTAGTTTTGTCACTTGTAACTTGATTGTTCAAGTGGCATACAGTCTTTTATACTCTTGGCAATGGATTTTGTATGCATTTTATCTGTACAATACGCATACCTGCCAAGTCTCCTGGATTGGCCCAGAGACTCCCGGATTTCGATCGTTTCTTCCGTTTGTACAGTTGTCGTGAAAATTTTCCGGAATTCGAAATTTCTGTGCGTGACCTGGACAAAAAAAAAAAACAGCTCAATCTGCTCCAGGCTTTTTCAACCTACCCAATTTTTTATGAATCTGTTTAAGGAGCGTTCATCTAAACGTACAGAAGAATCTCAGTGATTCGAAACCACGGCAAATACGAATTCGTTAAATTCACTAGCCAAATTCCACTGTGTCTAATTTGCCTAAATTCAAATGTTCCGAACACATTTCCTAATCGCGGCGGGTTATGCGAACTGTAGTACGGAAACCGTTGAACGATGGCCGAGAGCAACATACAAGAAGCTTCAGAAGTACGTGTGCGACTGGCGAATGCAGTGTGCTTTAAAGTGCGTGTGATTATCGTTGCCACAACTGCTGTGGAAGAAGTCGCAGTCACTCTTGACACGATCATGTATGGCGAGAACGTAACTGACAAACCCGCGAAAGTGTGCGCTCAACCAGTCAAAGCAACGCTGCTTTCCGCAAACACTGCAGACAAAACTGTGGCAGCTGCGATCGGAGATGGCATGAAACGACATAGTTTTGAAGGCGCGTGCGCAGCCAAGCGCACGGAGATTGTAAAAGAAACTACCGTTCGCTGTAATCGGCGTGTACATAATCGCGTTTGCGAGCTACGAGGGCACGCAGTGGAAGAATAAAGGCAGTAAATACTAAAAAAAAGAAGTCAGTTTTGCTGCGAGGGCAAAAGCAATGATTGCGACGGCAACAACTTGTAATGTCATGCTGAGAACGGCAAGCAGATAAAAATGATACACACAGGACGAGGGTGAACTAACAGCGTTTACCACTCGACATGTAACGCGTTGTTTAAACAAAAACGATGTACGATACGTAATCACAGGTACAGATGAGTACAAACTAACAAGTGTGCCTGTTGTTATACCTCGCTATGTATGAAAAGCGCGGCCTTTCCGCAAACAGGGTCTGTGCAGAGACCGAAGTGACCTTTGTGAGCCCGGCATCTACAGCAATCGTTCCAGTGAAAGCTGAAGGCACACGATTCTCCCCACCAAAGGATAAGCGCGGCGCACAAGCATCTAATAACTCCCCCTATCAGCAAGGCAGAGTACACGTCAAAGATAAGCGCGCATTGGTGCATCAGCATCTCAACAAGCTTGGCTCCGAGCGCGGGCAGCTTTTTTTTTTTTCTTGAGTGTTCCTATATATATATATATATATATATATATATATATATATATATATATATATATATATATATATAGATATGTACGTATAGTATACATAAAAGGTGAATAACGGCATAAAACCAGCCTAGACTGTCCATATAATTGCTATCGTAAAAAAAAAAAGGGGGGGGGGGGGGGCAGATGCGATTTGGCGTTCCCGTCAAAAGAATCCAGTAGCGAGCAAAGCTTTGACCCGTGCTTTTGCGCAACCAGCTGCGCCGTCCCATCCGTTCAAGTGTGTCTACCCTCGTGTGTTCGGCCACTATAAGACCACAACACTGATGTCGGCGCTTGCAATTGAAAGCCCCCCCCCCCCCCCCAAGCCCCTCTTGCTTTTGCGATTGTTTTTTTTCTTGTCCCTATGTTTTTTTTGCCGAAAAAAAAATAAAAGCAAATAGTTCAGCGCACCCCTCCCACCCCACCCATTGTGGAAATCTCCCGGATTCAAAATCCAGTTCGGCAAGTATGAATACGTGTGCAGTCATTTTGTGTACAGACATGCTAAATAGGTTCAGAGAAACAGGACTGTGTTAATAATGACACAGGATCTAAATGTAAAATGTTGCCATGCCATATCGCAACAAGGTTACTACATTTTATCCATTGAAATTTTTGTACATTTTTACACAATTTTTTTTTATATCCGGCACTTTCAAAAATTCCAACGATTGCCTTGTCTGGTCAGTCAGTCTCATATCATCACTGGGGTGTGAGGGCGTTTTTCAGTTAACGAACCCAGAGAAAGAAATGTGGGTGAAATTTTTCTTTCTTTGGAAGTACCCATATGAACTCAAAACTGCCTATTCAAATGCGGCAGATCAGTTGTCTACCACTCACGGCAGTGCCCTCTGGCCACAGCTTTTGTCGCTGTGTCAAAATTTTGCAGTAATTTCATGGCCAGAAGAAGTGTATTGAAACATTGTGGTTATATTAACAATCTATGGCATGTCAGTTTTAGCTGGGTGTTCCCAAGCTTTTGCTGCTATTGTATTGCTTTGAAATAAGTCATTTTATATGAAAAAATATTTACCTATTCCACATGAGTTATGTGCTGACTGTTAAAAAAAGAAAGTTGCCATTCTGAACTGTCATAAGATGTAATTTTTAAAATTCTCTAGATGTCAGGTGTGAGTGTTCCAATTGCATTTAACTTCCATTGTCCTGCAGGCTGTCTTGGCTTTGGCTGCTTCCTGGACATCTCGTCAAATGGGAGAACGCACCCTGACTGGCCTCGTGATTGATTCTGGTGATGGTGTCACTCACTGTATTCCTGTGGTGAGCTTCATTATTGATTTCTATTTTTATTCTAAAACTAACAGCTGAGTGTACTCTAAGGTTACCTGCACTATATTCTGGCCTTTTTGATTTCATTTATATTTCACATTAAATTGGTAGCTTCAATAATGTGCATGAAATGTCGGGGAGGAAAAACTATAGCACTGTTTTCATGAAAATATTGTCTGCATGCATATTATGACTGCCAACAAATAATTAATTTTGAAGTGCAATGGCATTTGATGATTGAATAAACCAAGTTTGTTGATATATTGGAAACTGAATTGGTACGTACCTTGTTGGCACTGAAGTTGATACAGGGCAGTTGTTACTTTAATTATGCAGTGTGAAACGTAATGTTTATAACCCTTACATGGTGTCATTTGGTCAGTTTCTGGTGTGCAAATACAAATATAATAGTAGGTGTAATTATGTTAATATTTGAAAGTTTAAATTGAATCAAGATTGAGATCGAACAATGGATGTAAAAACTGCTTTGAGTGATTCTGTAGCAGGATTTCAATGGTTGTTGCACAAGGTTGTTGTACTTTGTGCTTTCGTTCATGAAAGCACAAGGCACATAGTTTATAAATTCCAGTCATTTAAAAACAGTGGCTCACTTTTTGGCAGCGTATGTGCATATTTACTGGGCTGGTTTCGACATGTTGCATCTCCAGAATACATGTGGTGTTCTAATGCTGCAGGCCATTTTGTATATATATTAACATTGTACAGGCACCTAGTAAGGGCTTTTATGCTTCTATTCTATTATTGCTTTGTTGTCCTGAATGATACAATTCATTTCTTTATCATTATATATTCATATGTTATACTGTTGAATGGTATTATGCTACTTTCGTGTATCACTATATATGAATATCACTATATATGAATCTGTTGTGCATATTTTTTATCGAAACAATTCCACAATACCTTAGTATTAATGTTCATGCATCAATTAAAAAGTAACCATATTTGACTCACTGTTGGGGCTCACATTTCATGAACATATACTTTGTTGGTAAATTTCACAGCTTGTACATTCATAACATAAACACTCATTTGCCACATTATTTCTTTATCATTTGCATGTTGTCCGGTGATTACATGATTGCGCATGCATGCGTACTTTGAGTGCATCTTGCAGGTGATTTTTCGCATAGAGATTGAAGCTGAATTGTATGATTAGGCTATAGTAATGCACATGTGTGTGTGTGGCATTTGCAAGTTTTAGTACAAATAATGTAGTGTCTAATGGCATTGCATATAGAATGCCACATTTCGCTTGGAGTGTTATGTGCAGAACCTTTGTATATGTACTCGATGCAAAAAGAGGGCATACTTATGCTCACACTGCTGTTGTGGACACTTTGCACTGAGTACTGAAACTTGCTATTATTGTCTCAATAAAACTCGAACGTTTGAGTGAAGGTTTAGCTTGAGGCCACATATGATTTCTCTATTCAAATACGTACTCATAAAATGCAGGAATGCTCTGCTAAGACAATTGTTCGAGTGATTTAATAAAATTTAATGCATATTTCGGTGAAGAGGAAAATGCTGTTGGCTTGTGCGATTTGGGTGCACGTCAAAGAACCCGCAGTTGTTGAAATATCTGGAGCCCTCCACTACGGCGTCTCTATGGTGGTTTTGGGATGTTAAACCCCGCATATCATCAAAATTTGTTGCATATGAGAAGGAGAGTTAGTGACATTGTATTGGCCTTGCGAAGAAATTTCATATTAGTTCTGGATCATTTTAATGAAATATATGAAAACTGGTAAGTGTACAAAATATTGGAAAACATCGTTAAACCTAACTATTAAAAAAAAAAAACTGTATCACTGTTCACCAAAGGTACATTTCTTTACCGCCGCGAGACGCTTCCTGCCAGAGTGCATGTACTTAAAGCTGCATCTATTATATCATCTAAAATAGACAAGTTTGATGCGTGAATTACAGCTTTCATGTCTATGATGACTTTGCAAAAGGCCGATTCACAGATTAGGTGTAACAGTAGAAGTACTTTAGCTCTTTGGCTACCACGGAAAAAGAGGCCGTTTTCACGAGGTGTAAATAACATTTTTTGGACAGTTAGATACTAATGCCTTATTTACATTCTTTGTTACCATACTGTAGCTGAAAGAATGTTCTGTCCAATAATATAAATGTTGCATATATATTTAATACACACATTAAGGAAAAAAATGGTTATATCAAAAAGTTTTTACAGTGATTATACAATTCACGCTTTAAAAAGGAGGATAACATAAAAAATGATGTGGTTAAAAGAATTCAAGATTTACAATATGTTGCTTCTTATGTTGCAAAAAGGTTTTACAAGTTTAAACAATTAGTGCCAAAAACTGTTTTTTCTATAAAAAAAAAAAGTGAGGGTGCAGCAGTATATGGGTTATCCTGTGCAGCTTGCCATTGTGGACGGTGTTCGTCTGCTCAGAGTCCATGACACTTGGAAAAGCAAGGAACAAAAAATAGCTTCTGGGCATAATTGTCGAAGGAATGAGGCCTGAAAATAACTCTGGGGTATTTTAGTAGAAATGAAGGCGAGGCAGTTCAATAAATTATATGTGAATGAGGATTCCAATACACTTCATCACTTGATAGGGACTGAAGTTTCTCCACGAGTCATGTCTTTCCGCGTGTGTCTGCCTCTATAAAATATGCATCCATGCATATTTGTTGGCATAGTCCCAGATCATGCTGGTCAGCTGCGCAGTAAAAAACAGCTGGAAGAAATTGACTGCTCGGGCAAAGCGCCGTGCATTACTCTGGAGCGTGACTCCAATTTAGACCCCTGGGTTTTGCCTTTAAAGAAACTGCACATGCTTGATAGTTGCCGCCAAGGAATCATGTCCGTAAGAAGTTGAGACCCTCCAAATCAGTAAAGTTGCTGTGGGTACGCGCTCCGCCGTCTGTAACTGCTAATTACACAGCAATATGTGCGCCACACATACAGCGGGAACTCACTCGCTCGATGTTGCGGCTTGACGCATCGTCGTCATCGATGCTGAAATTTGATGTATCAACATCTTTTTCAGGCTCACTGCTGCTGATATCATCCTCAAAATTTGCTGTTGATGCACTCGATTCGCGAGAAACGAGTCTTTTAGAAACATCCACACACGAAAACGACGCCATGATCGGGGCGGTTGTGCAACAACCAAAAACTTTAGACGGCAAGGAAAAACTTTCTTAAAGCAAAAAACAATCAAAACATTGCAGATCTCATTGTTCATTTCCTACTTTCTTACCTAAATGGCGTTAGGCACCTGCAAACAGCGGGAATACGCAAAAATTTAAACTGGAAACAAATCGTTCAAATTGAACGATTTGGTGAGGCACGGTAGTGAGAGTTAATTTAAATTCAAAGGGGACTATGAAATAGTTCGAATTTAGTGGATAGTAAAAGTTTTTGATCCAAGCGGAGTTTTAATTAATAAGTGGCAGTTAAAATTATTGCACATCGCATTCCACTCTGTGCAGGTAGAAGCCCAAGAAGCCACCTCTGGACTCCTTATCACGAATCATATGCTAGTACCTGTTTGTGGCTAGTGGTTTTGTAAACTAAGTTCATGGAGCTCTAACAGAGAACATAATTAATTGATCAGTCAGTGATACACCAGAAACAAGCTGAGACATGCATTCATGTGAGCAGTGATCCATAGTGTCGAAATATGAGACATCATTTATGCTCCAAAACATGTTCATTTGCACGGCAGATTTGATAGAATCAAAATAAAGGTAAGCAGTAATTTGTGCTTGCACTGCTTCTGTCATGACTCCATAAGCATCGTTTGCAGCTTGCCCAAGTACTCCAGTGCAGCAACCGAATTCTTATCTGCGGGAAAATGCTGCAATTTTGTTCTTTTGCATCTGTAGTAAGTTTAGTTTGTTTTGCAACGCGCGATCACTGTGGGCAGACTTCTGCAAGGGGCATTGAAAGCCCAGTTCGAATTAACTGTAGCACGTACGGACACATTCAAATTATTGGCAGCCCCCCCCCCCCCCCCTATAGAAATAAACAGGATTGTGTCTGAACCTGTGCTTCAATTCGAATAAACTGTAAGTTCAAATTAATGGAGTTTGAATTAATTATCTTTTAGTGTATATTTCAGAGCAGTGTATAACACAATAGTTCATTCACTTTAGATGTCTTTAATATGCTGCTGTGTACAAGGTCAGGCTATCTTATTATTGAGAAGCAACTGGTCTTATTGCAGACTCGACACAAGAACAGACAAAAGAGGGCGCAAAGAGGATGCATATGTGGTGGTGCTGCGTGTGTGTCTTCTTTGTGCCTTTTTTTGTTCATAAGTTCAATTCGCGGTGAAACCATTTGCTTTGAATGATTAACAAACAAGTCCATGTTATGACTCGTTAACTGTTGCTGAATTAGAGATCTAGGTAATTGTTTCTTTTTTCATTTACAGCAATTTCTGTTTGGGGAAAACTGCCTGGATACAAAATGCTCTTGATTTAGCTATTTAAAGGGGCCCTGCACCTGAATTTTTCAGTTTTATCTGCCAAGTTTTAGATTGTAGTGCTTTCGTGTAATATCCTAAGATAAATGCAAAAAAACGTTTTGGAGACATGCTCATGAAAAAAAGTTAATGAATTCGTGTTGCAAATTCAAAATAGAAGGAGATTACAGAAATTAACGTACCCTTTTGTATTTCACTTACCCAGTGATGTGTCAATCTGGTTTGTCTGCTTCTGATCAAAACACTGCTTACATTTTGCCATACCGGAACCCTTTAGCACATGGTCGCCTTCCTGTTACAAGCGGGGCCTTATGCAGATGCGAAACAGACAAGAGCTATGAAACAGAGACGTAGAGAAGAGGCACACAACTCGCCCAAACACACGTCTTGCAGAAATGGAAAATGAGAAATGTGTGTGGGGGGGGGGGGGGGGCTCTGCTTTGTGTAGACCGTGCCACCTGTGCCAGTTGCACAGAAATTTAAATTACGAAGGACAAATTGGTCCTTTGTAATAGCTCTAACAAGTATTACACACATTGCAATTCATAAATTAATTGATGAAATCACTGTTTTGAACCAATCAAGGTGCTCATCATATGCTCAGTGTGATACCTCACTTACGACAGTAGCAATTGTTGATGTACGACGCTGGAGCCGGTACAAAAACCCACTTAGGAAACAAGTTAAACTAGCAAACACTTTGTTATTGCCACTTTCTATGGTGACACAGCAGTCAACAAGGCTCATAGCAAGCAAATGTCCAATAGAAATTCGCTTAAATTGGGGTGCAGGGTCTCTTTACTTATGCAGCAAATGTCAGCTGAACCAGTACAATTGTTGAAAAGTGATTTCTCCATTTCTTTGTGCATATGAAACCTCCCAAATTATTTTAAACTTCTCCTTAATTCATTGCAAGTACAAGATTTTTACTTGTGTATGACCATATATAAAAACCGACATTGCTCTACTTGTTTCAGGCAGAGGGTTATGTTATTGGCAGCTGCATCAAGCATATTCCCATAGCTGGACGCAATGTGACCTACTTCATTCAAAACCTTCTGCGTGAACGGGAGGTAGGCATTCCACCAGAGCAGTCTTTGGAGACTGCAAAGGCCATCAAGGTAAGATTGTTTCCTGCCATGGTTGCCATATCATTGTTGCTTATTTGTACCTGTGTTTCCAGGAGAAGTTGTGCTACATTTGTCCAGACATTGCCAAGGAATTTTCTAGATATGACCAGGAGCCGAGCAAGTGGATCAAGAAGTATGAAGGCATGAATGCAATCACCAAGCAGAAGTTTAGTGTTGATGTGGGTTACGAGCGATTTCTGGGACCTGAAATCTTCTTCCATCCTGAGGTAACTGTTGTGTGCATTTTTTCTCACTAATAGTTCAGAATTATTTAGCTTAGTACTTCATTTTGTCTTTTTAGATGTGCCTTCTTTTTATTTTGCATGGAAATAGTGTAGATTGCCTGTCACGCTACTGTGTGGTTGACTGGAACTCTATGAGCACCGACTCCATTGACTGCGTCCTGTCCATCTCCCAGCTGCTTGATCTCGGCGACGAGTAGCGTTGCGATCGGCACATATGTCACTTAATACAAGGACTCGAATCTTCACCGTATGACGTTTCTGTTCACATGTTTACCTTGAAGGACCACACCTTATATTGGTGTAATTTGTCACCTACCGGTCACTACTTACTTCCAGTCATACCAAAGCACTTGCACTCCACAGTCTTCTGCGAGCTCCATAACGCGCCAACCTCGAGTCACCTTGGCGTCTCTCACACATATGACTGTCTGCACCGCCGCTTCTACTGTTCTGGCCTTGTGCGCTCTGTACGCCCTTATGTCAATGCCTGCGAAGTTTGCCAGCGCTGCAAGAAGCCATTGAGACTTCCTGCCGGGCATCTTCGACCCATCGACATTCCATTGGAGCCCTTCTTCCGTGTCAGTTCGGACCTTCTCGGTACCTTCCCAACATCCGCCTCCAGAAACAAGTGGGTCGCGGTTGCTATAGATTACGCGGCCTACTTGCAATCACATGAGCCATGCCAACCAGCTGCGCTACAGACTTCACAGATTTTCTATTACAAGATCTCATTTTTGTGCACGGAGCTCCGCGTCAACTGCTAACACACCGAGGCCGTGCGTTCCTTTCTAAAGTGGTTGACGATATCCCGAGTTCCTGCTGCACTCAACATAAGCTCTCAACCTCATACCACTCCCAGACAAATTGGCTTACAGAACGCTTAAACTGCACCCAATTGCCGAACATGCTATCAAAATACATCTCGGCGGACTATCGTGGCTGGGACCTTGCACTACCGTACGTGACGTTCGCGTACAATTACTCCCGGTATGACGCTGCTAGCTACTCGCCATTTCACCTTTTGTTTGGACGCAAACCAACATTGCCGTTAGATATCTTCCTGCTCTCTGCTGCACAGTCTACTTATGAATATGCACACGACACTATTGCCCGCGCTGACCATGCCTGTCAGCTTGCCAGCAGCAAATTAACAGCTTCCGAAGAAACATGGAAGTGTCATTAATGAGCGGCATCGTGACGAACAATTTCTGGCGGGTTTCCTTGTTCTTCTTTGGTCCCCTGCAGGCCTTTCTGAGAAGCTTGTTTCACCAGCCTATACCGCATGCTTCGACGAGTGACCAATGTTATGTACGAAATTGTTCCTAATTATTCCTCGCTTTCTTGTGCTGTGTTGTTCCCTAACATCGTTAATATTAAAGCTCAAGCATTACCACTCTTCCCGCTATGGCCCCGTAGTCGCATCGGGTCAGCATTTTCGTCATCGCGGGTTGTGTTCCGTGGTTTCGACTGATGGTAACAGGGCATTGTGGGACATGACCTGAAATGAGCCACTGACTAGAAGTGAAGGGGTGCCCCGCCGCGGTGGTCTAGTGGCTAAGGTACTCTGCTGCTGACCCACAGGTCGTGGAATCGAATCTTGGCTGCGGCTGCTGCATTTCAGATGGAGGTGGAAATGCTGTAGGCCCGTGTGCTCAGATTTGGGTGGACGTTAAAGAACCCCAGGTGGTCAAAATTTCCGGAGCTCTCCACTATGGCATCTCAATATTATATGGTGGTTTTGGGACATTAAAACACACATAACAATCGGAAGTGAAGAGGTTGACATTGTGTGTGAGCTGTCCTGTGGTTATGGACTGACTGCTGTTTTTTCCACGTTATAATATAGATTAATTTACTCATAACTACCTTAACTTTGTAAAGGGGCCCTGCAACACTTTTTAGCATGGTCAGAAAATGCTGCCTATCTGTAGTAAAGGCTCTCGAGAATACGCGAGCCAAATAATAAAGCACAGCATGCGGTCTAGAATTCGAAATAAATTATCAGTAAGCTAACAGTTGCTTTCTATTCTTTCGACAAATGACAGAAGCAGCTCAGAAATCGCTTGTAAAAGGCCTTCTATCAGCCATTGGCTAATTTTAACATGGCGAACTTGGTCATAACATGAATTGCTGCAGGAGGTCGCGACATGTCCATGCATTTGTGTGCGATCACACTGAAAAGGCCGCATATTCGAAGAAAAAAGCAAAGCTCTAAAGGTCATGATAGTCACGAGGCACGTGTGACGTGTTTTCTTTGCTCATGCTATTCCTGCCTGCTTAGCTTCCAGCACTTTCGTCAGCACCAGAGACAGAGAATGAGATTGCGGAGCGCGACAAATTTTTGTAACTCCGCTCATAATGGACGGATTCCTAAAACTTTTGTGGTGGTGAATTCGTAAGGCAGTAAGTTCTTTCAGCGAATCCATTCCATAGTTCCTTGAAAAAGTGTCTAAGGGTCCCTTTTATAAATTAGTTCAGAAATGTTTGTGTCAAAGTAAGCTAGGGTTTTGTTTTTTTAAGTACTTTGTGCTGTGTTTTATTAATTTCCCACGTCTTGTTCCCCGCTGTGTATAATGTTTTCTCACTGTACAGGAACGCTATAATAACGGCATTTTTTAGCAGTTGCAGATGGTGGTAGCATCTGTTTTAAGATGTAAGTGTGCCAATTTGACTCAAGTGTGGGGCACACCTGAAATATTACAAGCAGAGTTTAAAGAAAACAAGGTCCTGCTCTTGCCTCTTGCATGCACACACAAATAAACCTCATTATAACAAACCCTGATATAACGAATTATTGGTTATAAGAAAGTAAATGAAGAATAGCTCTGTCATACAGTGCATAAAATATGTGTAACAAATATTTGGATATAATGAAGTATTTTTGTGTCAAGTGTGACTTTCTTATAATAAAGTTTGACTTTGTGTGTGATGAGGGGGGAAGAAGGAGGGGCTCATTATAAGATAACATACTACGTGACACCAACAGGCAAAAAGAGTGTTCCACACTCACTGTAATGGCAGCAGTTGGCACTGACTGATGCTCAGATGTTCAAATGTACATATATACCCTATAAAATGGATAGAAGGATGACCACCACCGTAGCCCAGTGGTATAGCATCGGATGCATTATTCGAAGGCCACAGGTTCGGTCTCTGCCGGTGGCATGTTATTTTTTCTTCCACTTTTCTTTCTTCACATTTACATTTCAATTACTTTTATTCCATCCCCTATACTTTTCTTGGCATCATTGTCTGTTGCTTTTCATTAATATTGATTTGATTTGTGGGGTTTAACGTCCCAAAACCACGCTATGATTATGAGAGAGGCTGTAGTGGAGGGCTCCGGAAATTTTGACCACCTGGGGTTCTTTAACGTGCACCCAAATCTGAGCACACGGGCCTACAACATTTCCGCCTCCATCGGAAATGCAGCCGCCGCAGCCGGGATTCGATCCCGCAACCTGCGGGTCAGCAGCCGAGTACCTTAGCCACTAGACCACTGCGGCGGGGCTTTTCAATAATATGCTTTTAAGATTAGAAATATATGCAACTTGTCTACTTTATACACGAGTTTGCTTTCTGGTCAAGTATGCTGTACTGGGCCAGCAAAAATATGCTTGGGAATAGAGCTTTAACCAAGGTAGAGGCGGCAATGTTACAATTATGCTCTGTGTTTACAACTGTTTGCTTATTCTTTATTTATTTATTCTATTCCAGTTCTCAAATCCCGACTTCACTACACCTATTTCTGAGATTGTTGACACATGTGTGCAAAGTTGTCCCATAGATGTGCGACGCCCACTATATAAGGTGAGCCCTTAGGATGGATGTCTACTTGTAACGAGCCATTTCGCCCTGTAAAGATGAATTTCATATACACTGCCTCATGCAATGGCCTGCTGCGAGTGCAGTGGTTTATGCATTCACTATGAGAATTGGTGCTTTTCATGCCATTACTTCCAGAGTACTTCCACGTTAGAGATCAGATAATGGTGTTTGCTTATGAACTTGACTTCAGATAACATTTGTATGCAACAACCGAAAAATGTATTTCCTATGTGTGAATATTCATGTCCCACCCAAGCAGTAGACCTTAATTGCTTAATAGCTTTTCCACATTGGGCATAATATGTACCCCTAACACTTTGCTCTTTCAGTCACTTATAACATTTTTTCTCTGTGATGTATATGGTGATTACCTAAAGAAAGTTGTATGATTAGCTTTTGTGTAATGGTTATTTCTTGTTTCCAGAATATTGTCTTGTCTGGTGGCTCCACAATGTTTAAAGATTTTGGCCGCCGACTACAGCGAGACTTGAAACGTGTAGTTGATGCACGCCTAAAGTTCAGTGAAAAATTAAGTGGAGGACGCATCACGGCAAGTTTGCTTTGTTTGTTTTCTTAATATATATGCCTTCATGTATGCACATCTCACCATGGCTACTGCTGCTTGAAATCGACGTTTGACATCACAGTGTTGTTCTTTTTTTTTAAAGCCTAAGCCGATGGAAGTGCAAGTGATTTCACACCACATGCAGAGATATGCTGTCTGGTTTGGTGGCAGCATGTTGGCATCTACGGTGAGTCATCACAATAATTTATTCTTTCAACAGATAAAGTATGGGGACGTGTTCTCGTAGATAAATATTTGGCATGTAGTAGTGTATTTATGATAACTTCAAGTTGCTTTAGTTTTGTGAAATGGAAATATGGCTAGACTGTTGACTTGCGTTTTGCTAGCATTAGGCGAGGTCGCATCGTGGGTTCACAAGCAAGAAGTCTGCATCAAGTATCAACATGTGGGCTTGGTATGTTTCCAGCAAGTGTAGTCTGTTGTGACTGGAGCTATTTGCTTTGGTAATGTAGCTGTAATGATATGGCTTTAAGAGCTGCTGTTTTCATAAGATCAGTGGTACTACTATAGTGACTCAATTTGGGAACGTTAGTTTTTGTTTGCTACACTCTGCAACACAATGTCGTCACTCATGGCACGCGACATGGTCCTGCCAGGTAACTGCTTGTGTTTGATTTGTGGGCAGACTTAAGGTAATGTGGTAAGCATGTGTACAAGAAATGTCTTATACCTTTGCTTTTTTTTGTCTCTTGAACAAGCATCATTTTCACATAAAGTTTTAGTATTATGTGATGAAAACTTGTTTTGTAGGATATAGTATTCATAATTCAATTTTGAATATACGAGGACTGTTAGAAAAGTGTCCGATCTTTGGTGGAAGAAAAAAAAACTGGCGTAATTGGAGCATTGGAAGCCTAATCCCCTTCAAAGTAGTCCCCTTGGGATTCCACGCACATCTCCCAGTAGTGCTGCCATTGTTGGAATCGTTCTGAGAAGGCCTCTTTCTAAATGGAGTTTAGCTCAGCTGTAGTTGCAGCCATAATGTCCTCTCGTCTGAAATCGCTCGCCTTTCAATGTTCTGTCAAGTTTGGGCAACAGCCAGAAGTCGCAGGGGGCCATATCAGAAAACTAAGGAGCTTGTTGAACTACAGGAGTCTGACTTTTTGCCAAACCAAGTGTGTGGAATGTGCAGGAGCATTTTCATGATGGATGCTCCAGTTTCTTGTTGAACACAACTCGGGTCTCTTGCGCCGCACAGTATCACATAGGCGGCAAAGGACATCCCTGTAGTACTCTTTAGTGAATATTTGACACTGTGGTGCATACTCGTGGTGCAATACACAGCAGGAGTCGAAAGAAAGCACTCAGCATGACGTTAGCATTGCTGTGCACTTGGCGGGCCTTCTTTGGTCCTGGTGGCATAGAATGCTTCCACTGTGAGTGACTGCTGGGATTAGGTTTCTGGGTGGTACCCGTACACCCAAGACTCGTCCCCAGTGATAATGGTAATTATGAAGTTAGGGTCACTGCTTGTGAAATCCAGCATGTCCTCTGACACTTCAACACAAGGTTGCTTTTGCTCCGCCGTGAGCAGTTCCAGCATGAATTTTGCTGCAACTCTTTTCATGGCCAAATCTTCGGTCATAATGGAATATGCTGAGGTAGTACTGATGCCCGCCTCTTCCGCAATTTCCCGGATAGTTGCACAACTGTCCCGAGTCACCACAGTGTTCACTTCGGCAATGACCTGGTCATTTCGGCATGTTGATGGCCAACTGGAGCGTGGCTCTCTCTCCACCATGTGCGGGCGCCTTTAAACCGGTTGTACCTCTCATTAATTTGTGTGCAGTTCGTAGCATTGTGAACAAAAGCGGTCTTCATCTTCCCTATGGTTTCCACTTGGCTGTCCGCCAGTTTATGGCTAAATTTGATGCAGTAGTGCTGCTCCAGTCACTCTGTCATTTTCCTTGCAATGAAAAACAGACTAGAGCACTACCTCACTCAAACTCTGCGTTTCAGCGACTGACGCTATTGGCAAGCGAAAAAAATTCACGCATGTGCACAAAGGTTCAAGGTCGGCTGATGCAACCACCTTTGTTTCAAATTTATCAGGTGCTCACAAAAAAAAATAATAAGTTCGGATACTTTTCTACCAGATCTCATAAACATCATGGCAATTAGGATGTTTTCCTTAAGAACTGTGCACAGTCTTAAAGCCAAGTAAGTGCTGGTTGTTCTCTTAGCGTTATCTGCATTACGTGTTCCTTCAATGTAAAACATCTGTCAGAAGTGGGTGTATGACTCAACAAAGTATTTGAAGCAATAATAAATTACAGCTAAGAAAGACTTATGATGAACACAGATGAATGATACTCATAGTTGGCCAAAAGTATTGCATAAGTGGTTGTAAAAAAAGGGTTAATGCTTAAAATGGGATTGCATATAGTTCAAATATGGCATATTGAACAAGAATGGTGTAATTCAACTACTTCTGCTGAAATAATTAGCCTCTTAAGATATAAATATGTTCTCCTGAAACCTCTGAATAAGTAGAATTTTTCTTTAACTTCTGTTGTGTATTTTTATTCCAGCCGGAGTTTTACCAGGTGTGCCATACCAAAAAGGCCTATGAAGAGTGTGGACCAAGCATCTGCCGTCACAACCCAGTGTTTGGTGCCATGACATAGGGCTCAATTGCAGGTTTCATTCCCCTCGCTCCTTTCATATTTGACATGAGGCTCTGCATCATTAGACAACTTGACAATTCATGACTGAATGCGAACCTTCTCTGTCATTTTTTTAATATCCCCTTATGTTGCTTTGAAATGAGTTATGCTGTATTCAACTATCTTAACAGTTGATCAGTAGTTGGACACTTGATACTGCAGTGAAGGCTGTATTTATATTTTTACCCATACAGTATAAGTTCACTTATAGCCTATTTAGGTGTCTTTTGATGATTATATAAAAGAATGAAATACAGTACATTTTTCTTATTGGGCATGTCACAATCAGTGTGATTTATAAGTGTTTTTCACTTTTGGCCTATTTAAGTATCTTTGATGATTATATTAGAGAATGAAATACAGTTCATCTTTGTAATAATTGTACAAGTCACAGTTAGTGTGATTTATAATAGTTTTTTTTTTGCTGCTCACTAATAAGTACTGGTTAATTGCTATTTGCATATTTATGCTATTCCCCCCTCCCCCTGTTAGCACTATTTTTTAAAATCACAATGTAAAGAAATTGTACATTTTATTTTTTCAAAGTATCACATTAAAGTTGTTGAATATGGCTTATATTGGAATTTGTCTGAATTAAGTGAAAGGCACAATTCAGAGGTAGCATGCCAATACACGTTTTTTGAACAGCAAGAGCACTATGCAAACATAAGCAAGATGCACTACATTACCAGAACCTGGCCAAAACTAAGTGAAACTCTTGTCAACTTGTGACCAATATGCTGTTTTCAATAGATATTCAAAACACTACAAACACTCGGGCCTGTATTCACAAACGCTCCTTGACTCGAAACTCGACCTCAAGGGATCCTTGAGGATGGTTTTGCAATGCGATTTCTTCAACACAAAATGTCTGGAGGGTCCCTTGAGGGCGAGTTTCGAGTCGAGGAACGTTCTTGAATACAGGCCTCAGTGTTGATATGTTCCAGAACTTGAGGTGTACAGATGCATAAATTCTTTTTCTATTTTCGTGCTTGCTGTCTTTTTTTTTTTTAATCACTGTAGCTTGCACTGGAAGCACACTGCTAAAGAGGCAGCAAAGCTGATAGGCACGTGGGTAGTCCTAGCTGCAACTGTTTTGCCAAGTTTTGCCAATTTTCTATTTCCTTTTCTTTCTTTTTCTCTCTTCTCCCTCTTTTTGATGCTTCTTTGCCTATGTTTATTTGTGTTTTTGCTTTCTTTCTTCCTTTCTCTCTCTCATTATCTATTATTTTTCATTAAGGTAGTGTAAAAAAAAAAGAGCCCTCAATATTCCCTTCCTTCATTCTCTCCTCTTTCATTCTCTCTCTCCTTCTTTGTCTAACATTCTATTTCTCTCTGTGTATTCACTGTCTTACCCATCATAGTTATTGAATTCTGCACTGGAGCAATCAGTATGCTTGTTCTGACAACATAGCAGAAAATGAAGAGGATGAGAGAGCGTGCTGTTCTTGTGGGACAGGTGCAGCATAGCTGTGACATTAACAGTTGCTAAGCAACGCAAGGCTCTCTGAGGGGTTTGTAGGCTTGTGCAAATAGTAAATTTCACGTTCGAAGCGAATTCGAATAGTATATATCACATAATATAAAGAAAAATGAGCACATTTGTCGTGACCCAATTAACCTGTACATTATATATATTTTTAATTGAGACAAAGCATGTACAAATTAATTATTCAAAAAAAGTGTAATCAACATTGAATAGTAGCAGGATTTCACTTTAAATGGAATGAAAGAGAGAACCTGTAAAATATGGTATGTTTTAAAATTTACTATACTGAAAGCATAAAAGCTGATATAACAGTCTTTTTTAAACTTAAAAAATGATGAATGGATATGAGATATATTCGGGGTGCTCAACCATTTGCACAAGCCTAGTTAAATGTACTCTCCAAAGTTTTTACAGCCGCCTCGAACAGCTTTTCTGTTGAAAACTTTCCATTCTCGTTCATGATAGTAAGGAAAGCAATTATGTCACACTGGGCATCGCCAAAGCCTTTCAATGCATGAAGGACCCTGTTGTTACAAAGGCCAAGCAACTGCATTTTTTAAACAGTTGCTTTCAATGTCTTGCAATAAAATTGGCCTGGACTTCATCAATCTATGGCACTTAGCAATTGCACCCTTTTGCAAACTTAAAACTGATATGGATTCCCTGCATTAAAGGTATCTATTATGTTCAAACTTGACCCTGTTCTGGGTTGAAGGTTAGTTGGTCTATTTTTGTTGATTACAGTTACATTCACCACAACACATTATAAAGCATGCGTCTCTGCGACCCGAGCAATTCTGTAAAGAGTGCACAAATATCTGGTCTTATGTAAAATAAAGATTTTTGTACACATTTTCTGTGCTCTTGGCGTACCATGTTAATGGAAAGACCATGATGATTTCAACAACACCTGCACCATGTAATTTGTCATTCATGTCTTGAACATATGTGTTGTGACCTGTCATTCATATTTGTCATGCATGCATGTCATGTGATACACAGTCTGGTGTAAAGCAGCATTATAGGTCCATTCGTTTCACCTGCACTTCCTGAACCAGTTTACAGAGGTGCTGCACTTCGGCATTCGTTTCACGAGTTCAACATGGTGGCAGCGTCACCGCAGTATTCATTTCGAGAAAGTGCAGCTGTCGTGCAAGGCTAGTTCACGAATTCCCTGCACCTGCTCGTGAGGTAATGCTGAGTCTGTGCAGCACAAGATGGCTGCAGCTGCTGCAGACCAGAGTTATTCTGCAGCAGACAACTCAGCCGATTGCATTCGTGTCTGTTTTTGTGACGTGCAACAAGTACAACAGTGAGCATTTTCCGGTAGACACATGCCAAGCAACGTAAGCGGCACTGTCTTTTACGAATCGCAGCCTTCACAACCATCGAGACAGCCTACGCTTGCACGACATGTGCACTCTCGTATTTGTTTCTGCGTCTCGTCGCTGCTGCACTTGCTGAAACGTCGCCTGCACGAAAACGACACCTAGACAGCACCACCGTCAACTAGTTCTGGAAGTGCAGGGTGAATCGAATGGACCTTATGAAACAACCATTATGGCATGTTGCCCTTTGTAATGTCTGTCATGGGCACAGGAGATGAATTTTATATTTGTGTGATGATATTTATCGCGCTCGTTTCATGGGATGCCAGTTTTGGTGTAGAGCAGGCTAATGAAATGACCGCGATAGCACGGAGACATGGGTGGCTAAATATTGTGTCTGCTTTGGCAAGAAATGCTATGCATTTATTCACCCTTTAATGCACTAAATAACCTTTAAATGAAATACCCTGTATAAGGAATGCAAGGCATTATTGTTCGATTTACTCTGCTCCCCCTTATGTCTGAAAGAAACCTGTTTCACCTACAGCTTATAGCAGGGAAGAAAATGGGGACATGGACAGCAAAATTATGGAATCAGAGGTTCGCACTGTCTTTAACAGCATCAAAACTATGGGTGGGTGATTCCACCAGAGATCAAACATGTGTGTCTGGACGATATGTTCGGTTTTTCTGCTTTTTTTTTCATGTTGTGGGTATATTTGAGGTGCACAGAACCAAAAATTCAATTTAGAAAAACTGATTTCAGCGCTCCAAAAAATGTTTGAAGGTGGCGGCATGTGTATCTTGATATTGCTTGCCGCAACATTTCCTAATTTCGCGGGTGAATTACGTGCGCACTGTAAACGTTATCGAATTTTTTTTCTTGTTTTAATACGCATCACAGTGAATCACATTCATGATTTCGTTAAGCTAAACCGAAAAATTCTAGAAAAATATCGAACTCTGTCCAAATAAAAAAGTTTGGTATCTTTGACGTGCTATGGTGCATTTATTTCATGCAAAATTTCGAAAAATGAGCTGTTTTGAAAAAACTTGCTTCTTTAAATATATTTTTCTTCTGTCATGCTGCTTCTAAGAAAACAATATTTTGCAAGAATGTTAAGAAGATATTGCTCTATATTAGCACTTTTTTTAATTTTTGCATGAAATAAGAAATGTGCCAAGGGGCATCAAAGATACCAGACTTTTTTATTTTGACCAAGTGTGCCGTTTTTTCAGAATTTTGTTGGTTCTGCAGACAGCTTAAGAAAAGCATGAATGTAATTCACTGTGATGCATATTAAACAAGAAGAAAAAAATTTCGACACAACATTTATGCCTAGTTCACTCCGAAGCATCCGCTTTCTACAGCGAGCTACATTCTTCTGTTACCGAAACACGGCGTCTTTCGCAGTGGACGCGCACCGCATAGCCATAGCGCGTCATCTGCTCAGTGAACAATCAACCACAAGGCGAGCATGGGATGAATGCGCTGTTCCCCGGATGTTGTCGGCGGCTCGAGTCTTCGGTGCACCCGTGTTATGCACGTTTCAACGTTCGTTGCAACTTGGAAAAGAAAGGCAATGAAATCACAAGGTGCTCGTGATTTAAGGAGCAACGCAACACAGGCAAAGGAACTGGTACTTGCCAGTCAATCCAAGCTCGTTTCCTATTTTGTTCTACAAGTAGTCAATTAGCACGCTGTCCTGGTACTGGGATGGCGTTTGTCGTATAGGACAGAGTGGTTGCGCACAAATTCAATTAGCATTTCTTCTAAGCGCACGTTACTTGACTGTGGCATGAAGAGCGAGTCGGACTTGGCCACCATATTTTCAAATTCCTCGACTAGCGCTCCTACTGGTTTGCGACGAGAAGATTTGTTGGCAGACGCCCCAAAAATCAGTTGAAGAGTGATCGGCGCAGAGAGGCTCCTTTCGGCGGATCTCGCCGCTGCTGAATTGGATTCGAAACCCTTTCTACAGCTGGAATGCTCGGGGTGAGTGAGCCTTTAGAGTGTGCATTCAATTCTGCGAGATCACCAAATGTTGCGGCAAGCAATAGTGAGACGCGCGCGCCGCCACCTTCAGACATTTTTTTTTGTGCGCTGGAATCAGTTTTATGAAATAAAATTTTCTGTTCCGTGCCCCTCGAATATACCCACATATCGTATAAAAAAATAAACAAAAATATGGTCTGGAAACGCATACTCGTTCTCTCGTGGAATCGCCCAGCTGTGGCTGGCAAGGACCACATAATCAATTAAATACTAAATCTAGACATGGGTCAGTTATTGAAATCTCAGACTTCAACATCCAATTTAAGGCCACATCTGTCCACTCAATGCACTGTGGCAGATTTAGCACGATATCCTAAACTTGAACCCTATGTAATGTCTAACTGTACCATTCTAGGACTAGACGCAAGTAAAGGTTTTGACAACAGGTCGCTCACATCAATATTGTACAATCTGGCCTATATGAATGAGGGGACATGCACTGATTTGCTCATTACAAATTTTCTTGAGGACCACACTGCAAAAGTGCATATTGCAAATATTAAAAGTGAACAGTTTTGATTAGGAACAAAGGACACCTCTCTAGATGCAGTTCTTGCCCCCCTCCTTTTCAAATTGACCATGCAAAACTTTTCACAATTACTGGAGTGCATCCCACTTATCGAGCACTCCATCTATGCTGATGACATTGCCACCTGGCAGTGGTTCAGATAGTGAAATCGCACGCATACAAGAAACACTGTACAACATTTTGTGCTACAAAATTGCCTTGTGTGCTCCCCAACAAAATCGCAGCTTCTTGTCATATGAGATAATGTACTAGTCAGTACAGACGATTAGCCAGTTCCTCCTGTACCTACAATAAGATTCCTAGATTTGCTAATTCAGCGTGCAACAACCACCATTCACAGGTCAGTTATAAATGACAGTCTGCCAAATCTGTGGCGTGCTCCAACGGGTAGCCACATGACACAGCGGCATAGAAAAGGCTGATCTGTGCTGCTCGATGTAGGCTTTCTTTGTAAGTATGATCATGTACAGCTTTTAGGGGCGAAGCTTTTAAAGACGTGGGTCTGTCCATCCCTTGTATGTATGTGCGTGACCACCTATAGTTCTTCCTTTGCCAATCGCCCACTGCTTCATTCTTGCAAACATCCCACTACGCCCCATCACCAATCTACCACTTCACAGACCATGCCGGTCGCGGGATCAAATCCCGGCTGCGGCAACTGCATTTCCGATGGAGGCGGAAATGTTGTAGGCCCGTGTTCTCAGATTTGGGTGCACGTTAAAGAACCCCAGATGGTCTAAATTTCCGGAGACCTTTACTACGGCGTCTCTCATAATCATATGGTGGTTTTGGGACGTTAAACCCCACATATCAATCACTTCACAGACCATAAAGCAAATACTGTTGAGAATTAGCCAATATGAAATGCAAGATGGTCGTGTACTTGTATTCAGGTGCGCATTGAAGAACCATAGATTTTCCCACTGTGTCCATCCCTTGTTTGCACGTGACCGCCTATAGTTCACCTTTGAAAATTGTCCACTACTTCGTCTGTGCAAACACCGCAGTTAGTCCCATCATTGATCCACCACCTGACCAACCATAAAGCTGTTTTAATAAAGGGGGAACGGAAGTGACACATAGCTGCCACTTGCGAGTAATAAAATTTCTTGTAGAAATATATGCTGTGTTTGTCACGTCTTTAATAATGTAGTGGACGATATTCGTGGATAGTTCGCAGTTTAACGATGAAATCCTTCAGCGCTTCGCCCCACTTATCATCATTCACTCCGTGGATATGCTGCGATTTTTTTGTACTACGATCTGCACCTTTCTAACAAGCAAGAAATCAACAGTGTCATTTGCGTGGCTTATAAAGCTGCCCTTGACCTCTGTATACGATCAATCAGTGAATGCAACACAGAATACTTGTTTTGTCTGCACATTAGTAGTTCTTGAATTGTACTTTGTCTTTGGTTTTCTTTGTGCATTAAACACGGATATTGCATAGCAAATCATTTATTCAGTTCATAAGCTCTACACCTCATTTTGTTGCTTATATTTTGTATCTTATGCTTGGTGTAAAGACAGAGGTGGTTCATCACATTTGCCTGTGCATGGTTAACAGAACAAACGACAAGAGATGACGCATGCATAGGTTTCAAAACATTTATCACAACAAGGAATTCAATGGACTATCACAAAAACAAGCACAGAACATGCTCAAATTAAACTGAAAGTCCTCAAAATGACGAGTATCCAGTCTACTTGAAACAACGCGACAGCTCACGGTTTGTCGAACCAGAATCTCGAGGAGGCAGCAGTTCCCGTTCGGCGACGATGTTTGTCGAGACAAGCTCAGGCAGGCAGGCAACACACATTCCGCGTGCGGTCACAGCAAGAGAAAAGGCGTGCGGACGACCTCACATCCGAACACGGCCTTCAGCCGTCCCAGATGGCGGTGCCGATCATGAGCCCGTCGTGCCTGTCCTGCACACTAACATAGCAGGAGCTGCGCCCGGTGTCGGTAGCCCTAGACAGGTACCTCTGCTTCAGGACCTTGATTACCAGGACCAGGGAACAGACAGGAGGAGCTCCACGGACAGTACCCTGGTCCGGCGTGTCCCAGCTGGAGCCACCATCAGGACCACTAGGCAAGCACCAGGCCCTCTGCAAGCGCGGCCATGAAACAGCCAAAGACAGCGCCCTGGTCCGGCGTGTTCTTCGGCTACGTCTTGCTTGGCTCTTTGTGCGTTCCACACGCGCCTCTATTCTTTTTCTTTTTTTTTTTGTTCTCCTCTCGTGCATCTGCCGCTGGCTCGCCTTCTTGTCGTCATCCTTCTTTTCCTCGGGCGCCCGCACAAATATTTCAAAATTACCCGAAAATTTCATCTGCACACAAATTTACCATACAAAGTTCATCCATTCATAACAACTATCCCTCCACTCAAGAAAGTTGTTTCAATAAAACAACCCGTCCACAGTCTGGAATACTAGCACAAAATATTTACAATGTGTTCATCACTAATTCATAACTGATCAGAGCAGAGGGGATACACGTTAATTCTAAGAGAGACTATCGGTCATTGGATTTGGTTCTTGTTTACTCATGTCTTTTGAGGAGGTCGGCATGAAATAAGCTAACTCATCAATTAGATAATCACAGTTGTTGCGCTCCTCGACGACGGAAAAGTCCTTTCCATGTAAGGATAAGCTTATTTCTGTCTGATTGAAGGAGAAGCAATACTTTGTAACCTGCAGACAGCTGTCAAAGTCTTGTCTTTCTGTCATAACAGTTCTTTTGAGACGCCTTTGCTTTTTTGAGCTCTTTGTGAGCTATCTTGCAGGTGTTTTGCAGCCTCTCTTGTGTCTCGATGATCTAGCCATACGTCGTCTTAGTTTCCAAATCGATGTTGTCGCCTGTCCACAATTTCTTAAAAAAGGACATTGGACCACTCACAAATCGTCCGTAAAGAAGGTCAAATGAAGAAAAGCCAACGCTAGCATGCAGGACCTCGTGGTAAGCGAACAGAAGCCGAGCCAAATATCTGTCCTATTGCTTGGGTGCTCCTGACACCTTCGTTGAATCATTATCTTGAGGGACTCATTAAATTTTTCCACTAGCCGTTTGCCATGGGATGGTAAAGTCCTGTTGGAAGTTGTCTAAATGGCAATAATCGTCCCAGTTCTTGCATCAAACAAAATGTGAATAACTTGCCACAGTCGCTTACTATTTCTCATGGTACCCAACGGGAGTGAACATTTCTAGTAGCGCTTCCACTACTTTCCGTTTCAATTCTCGACAAGGCTACTGCGTGTGGGTAGCGCTTAGCGAAGTCTATTGTTTCCGTTTTTCGATGCTGGGGATAGTAGACCGATGATATCGATCGCAACTCAGTGAAATGGGATTCCAATTAAGGGTATATTCCCCAAAGGCACACGATCGACGAGGTGCTTGAGTACTGTCCGTTGACATCTGTCACATGATTTCACAAAGCATGTGACATCCGCTTGCACTCCAGGTCAATAAAACTCAAGGACATGGTCTATAGTCCTGCTTTGCCCCTGATGTCCAGCGTGAGCAATCCCTCGTGTGCCATCTTCATTACCGTCGACTGTAGCTTCTTTCGAACTACCAGTTGCTTAAAGTCCCACCGTTCTGCATTCCGATAGCGCCAGAACAGGATTCTATTGACCTGTACGAGCTTCACAGTAGCTCGCTTCTTGGACGTTGTGGTTTGGTCCATTGCTTGAAAACAAGTTTCCAGTGTCATAACTTAGTTTATTGGTGAAAATGTGAGGTACTTATAGAACAACCCACCAAATTTTGGCATATTAACAACCTAAAATAGTTAAAGGGAATGGCTACCAGTTTTTACGGTTCATATTTTCTTCACCGTGAGTGTGTTTAATCACAAAACACTAACATGGAACATGCCATGAAACATTTGTTATCAGAATTTTGTTATTTGCAGTGAATATGAAGTTGTGAACACAAGTGACAATTCAAACTGCAACTAGTGAGTGAGAGAAAAATTCGTGTGCGAACATTACAGACTGTCAGGAGAGTTGTGGCATGCTTTGTCCACTCATATTCATTTATTATTCATGCATGAATGTCCACTTATTCATTCATTCATGTGCTGCCAAGTCTTCACCCACCATCACTATCTCTTTGGGGCCCCCGAGACAAACGGGGAAACAAGTTAATAGGCAGGTTAACACACCAGCTTCAGGTTTAGCTGACCAAGCCAGAGCACCATACTCCAACTTGAAACCAAATTTATCCCTTCACAAGTTCCCCTAATCTAAATGCTATGGCTATCCTTGCTCACCAGTGCGTGTAGAAAATACAAGCCACCTCATTCACAACTCGTCTGGGATTTTCCCACAATTTCATTCACACTTATGTGACATCCTTTGTACATCTCAAATCTTGCTCATTTAATGGAGACTTCATAACTTTGTATTATCATGCATGTATAGCAATACTGATGCTTTGATGCTTATTGGCTCAATCACAAGCAATTCATCTATGGAATGACCTACCAAAAGACCTTGCAGCACAGCGCTATCTCACGCAGCTTAACGATAATGTAAAAAAAAAAGAAATCTCTGCTCCAAAATCTGATGTTGGCATATGCCACTTTCTTTCTTGCCTATAGTACTATAGCATTGAGTGCATATTGTGAGAAGTCTGATGGTATTACATGACAACGATATTGTCTCTTGTTCGCCACAGCACCACAACTGTCGTGTCAAAATTTTTTCGTTTGTGGTTGCATTTTCGATTCTGTTTAACAGCTTTTTGTATCTTTTTGGTTTTGCTGAGTTTGTTTACATTATTCAGCACTAACTGATGCTCTACTTTGCTACAGTATTATTATATATTAATTTTCACTGCAATTACTATGCCACCCCCCCCTTAATGCCCCACAAGAGCTCTGTAAGGTATCTATAAAGCTCATAAGGAAGGAAGCAACAATAACCATCAGCTGGAACAGTGCACAGCAGGGAAAAAAAGAAAGAAAATGCATTGATTGATTGATTGAAAAACTTTAGTGGACACTTCAGCACCATGGTATAAAAAAGAGAAAAGAAAAAAAAATAGAAAAAGTTCCAAAAAAAAAAAGTGACCTTCTCAAACTGGTGAGCTTGTGATTGCTAAGCAGAGAACACCTGTTGAAAGCAACACATCGCACCACATGTTCAGCCTAGCTCTGATGAGTGGATCGAGTATCCAGTGGATAGTCTCCTCCACGTCTTGCTGTAGGTGAGGCAGGGCATGCTGGGCTTTTGTCATAAAAGTAGCCAGCTCAGCTTGATTCGTGAACTGGGCATTCCCAGAGGATATGGTCTGTTGTTGCTGGCGCTTGACAGTCGTCACAGTTGGCGTCAGAGCACTTTGTTGGTAGATCTTGTGAAGCACTGGGATTGTTGTGATGATTTGTATTTGCAATATTCTCAGTGTGACCTCGTAAGGGCAGGTGAATCTTGATGGCGGGGCATCGTATTTTGTAGCTTCTTTTAATTTAGCCTTTAGCTTTCTTCGGTGCTGGACTTTCGCTAGGTAGTTGGCTTTACGGGTCTCACCTTCAGTCATCGTCACAGCCTGCTTCAAGCTGTCATCCCTGAGTAGTTCCTTGTTTGACGCTGCAAGGCTCATTCATGAACTAGCTCATTCCTTGGTATATTGATATATCCAAAAATCCAGTGAATTTGCACCTGGACTGATTGTTCTTGAAGTTGAGCGGCTTGGTGCAAGAAGTGCCTGGCTTACTTCAAGTTTGGAGTCTGAATCACTAGCTCCGAATTTGTGAAGACGTGAATAGCTTTTCGCAACGATCCTGTTTGAGTGCAGTGGGCTAGAGCTTCCGAGATTCGGCAGCCATTCTACCATTCGGCTGCTTCAGGCAGCAAACAAGAATGGAAGTAATGAAATTGTTCAAGCACTTTCCTGGCAATAGATAGCTTGCACTGAGGTCACTACAACCGCCATGTTGGTGCATCACCTGGCGTACACAAGGTTTACAACACCACATGTTAGTGTTATCATTATATCACTTGCCATTTCTTTTTTTATTGACTGTGGCCAATAGAATTCCAACCGTATTGCTATCGTATTTAAGCAGCTGAAGCGCTATGTGACTGTGCTGCCTCTATGTCATCAAGGCCGCCATGCTGGTGAACCAGCACGTTATTAAGCTGCCACCATGACGTCATGTGCAAGCTATCTATAGCACAGTATATCAAAAATTTAGTCCCAACAATATGGTCTGTTTGAATGGCTTTTTTTTTTTTTTCACTGAAGCTAGCGATTTTTTTTCTGTATAATACACACCACTGTTCCCACATTTGTAAAGGAATGGAATATTCAGCCTCTAATAATATTCTAACTACATTACAATGCCAGTTAGCCCTGTTTTTGGTTCAAGTACGAATTGTGTATGTTATTTTACAAAGACAAGAAATGCAGCACAGAAGTTGGTTGATGTGGCACTGGCACACTTTACAAAATGTTCCAAATTCACATCAAGCGTAACGATATACAAAAATTGGACATCATTAGCTAGCGCAAATCATTGCATGGTACCACAGCAGAGTAACATTATAATCTTATGTTCGAGGCCACTCAAGATTAGCCGAGTACGCAGCTATGGCTTCCATTTTATTTCCACGAGACCATGCACAGACTTTCGCAAATGTTCTTTATCATAATTCTCGGTTTCATCGTCTGGCTCAAGAGTTTCAAACTCCTTATTCTGCTTCATTTGCTGAAGCACGTACTCTTTAAATTGAGTTTCGGAGAACTTATTTCTTGCAGGCGCTTGAGTGGACAGCGTGGCAGTCACTGTCGTTTTTTCGTTGTTTCCAAAATATTTACGCAGTTCATTTCCACGACAAAGTTCTCGTCCCGCCCACCAAAGTTTAGCATCATTGCGGGAAAGAGGTTTCTCAATCTCCCCTTTGTCAACGCTTGCTACCAACGCTTTTCGCTCCTTTTCTACAGCTTCAGGAAGCTCCAGGGCGCATAAAGTTGCCTTAAGCATCTCTTTAGTGCTCTTGATTGTGTTCTTGGTGAGACATTTTCCGGATTCCAACTGGGAACTGGACACCCTCGCCAATGCTTCCGCTGTTACTTTCATAATGGTCCCGCCTGGATCAGCTGTCCCCGATGGTGGTGATGTTGCGGACTCATCCTGCGGTTCCTCGGTATGAGCGCCGAGCTGTCTAGCGAAGTCTTCAATATCCGCCGCGGCTTGACGAATAACCAAAACTCCGTTGTATATATCTGTGAGGTCATCCACAAGTGCACCTAACGGCGTGCACAGCGAAGTCTCGACGAGAAACTGAACGGCGTTATCACAATAAACTTTGATCTTCACCATGACTGCTCAATGCAGTAAACTATCTAGCAACAAAAATGGTAGAGGTAACACCAATTACACACTAAACTGGTGGTCGTAGTGGTTAGAAGAAGAAGAACGCACCGTCTAATATCTGCAGCCCGGTGGGGAGCACGGCGCAGCGCCTACACACACACAGAGAGAGACCGCACAGGCAGGTACGCGGAACAAGGAGATTGTGACACGGAGCACCTATGGTTGTGAAAACTCTATGGTTGTGATGGCAAAGTGGTAGATATTCTCTGATGAAACCAATGAAACAGAACGTCGACAAAGGGACAACAAGGAGACGAGCTTTGGCTCAACTAGTTCTAAAACCGTTGCCTTGGCTAGAGTTCTTGGCGCTTGGAGGACGCACCGTGGAGCATAGAGTTCATAGAGTTAACGCCATGGAGCATCGGCCAACTGGTAGGTGTTCTGTGGATCGGCCATAAAACGAACACTAATTTGTGTTACAGGTAAAAATGTTTTACAATTTGGTTCATCGAAAAGAGCCAGTTTTTGATTAGAAGTATAAAAAAAGTTATCAAGTATTGTTGTAGGCGTGCAAACTTTATGGACGTAAGGCAATCCGGTTACGCGCGCCACTCTTGAGCAGTAAGAAAAGGCCGTAGAGTTGACAACGCCTCCTTGTTGCTCGTGGGTTGCATGTCTGCCGTGTCGCTGGTAAAGCATGGTTCGTTTAATGTTTACGAACGTATGTTAATGGTTCCAGATGCGGTTAAGCAAGGTGGCTAAAATAAGCATAGGCTGGTAAGGGTTCTAATGTTCACTGCTACTTACCACTTCACTTTTTCTTTTCATTGATGTCTTTAGCAAGTGCCACGTGTGTGAATTTTTGATAAGAAAATGCATCTTCATTCACCGGATAAAGTGGTTCTAATCCGATGTGTGTTGCTAGTCTTCGCCTATAGGCGCTGTTAGTTTTCTTGCAATGTTTGTCAGGTGGCCTTTCACTGCAGGGTACTAAAAATTACAAAAGTCAATTAACACGTGTTCCTTAATTTTACAGGGCTGTTATAACTGTCGCTGGCATTGGTGGATTTGTGTTTGCGAAGAATCTTATTGACAAGCAGCGTTATGAAGCTATGAAAGTGCGGGAACGCATGAAAGCAGCACCAAGGGGACCATTATAGCCTGGGGTCAAGGTCTGCTCTCAACATTCGCACGCCGTTACTTCAGGAAGATCACTGGCAATGACGACCAACATTCAGTTGGACCCTTCCAAGCTTCAGCTTGTTGCTGATCTCGAAATTGAAATGATGTCAGACATGTACAACCGCATGACGGCTGCTTGCCAAAAGAAGTGCATCCCTACAAAGTACCGTGAAGCGGACCTCTCCAAGGGCGAGAGTGTGTGCCTGGACAGGTGCGTGGCCAAGTATCTGGACATTCATGAGCGTATTGGCAAGAAGCTCACCACGCTGTCCATGCAGGACGAAGAGCTCATGAAGAAGATGCAGGAGCAACAGTCCGCCGCCCAAACGCATGCCAAGTAGCCGTAGATATGTCTTGATTCTTGCGTATGATAGAGTAGCTTTCGCCCGCTCCTCGCTATTCATTAAAGCTTGTGTGGTGCGCTCTCTACCTTGTGGTGTTATTTTCCTGTATTTGCTACTACGTGAGAAATGTGCTGAATATTTTCACGTAAGCAAACATCTGCTTAGCTGAAACAGTTCATGTGCTTGTTGTAAGCTTTGTTTTTTTAGATTATATTTATGAGAACCTAAGATTATATGCATAAGTAGATGTAGCCTATTCCAGTTTGTCATTGGTATAAGCACAGTTAACAGGTACAGCTGTCGGCTGCATAGGGCTGAGAAAAGGCAGCATCCAGTGGAAAGCTAGAAAGTGTCATTCTTTTTATGAATGTGTGGTACTGATATAAGCAACATAGGCATAGCAATAGCCTCAGCAACAGGAACTTAAATCAGTTCATATGCCTAGTTTGCACTGCCAGGCAACGGCAAAGTCATTGCTAGTTAAATGCACTGGCACGATCACAGTTGTGCCTTTAGAGCCTTATGTGGGAGAAGTCAGGGAGAGACTTGCTGGATACTTCACATTGAAGGTCACAAACTATAAAAAATATGTCTCATTCTTAAAGAAGCTTTGTGAATATTTTATATGGACTCTGAAATGGCTATAAAAGCAGGCAGGAATAACTCTGCAACATTTTCCTACTGTGGCCTATTCTTGTTGCCTTCCAACCATCAAGAATTGAAAAAAATTTTCACATCACCTGAACCTATATGTTCTGCAGTGTGTGTGTGCTTTGAAATGTGCACTTCATGCATCTTTCGCTCTCACTTGGAACTCTGCCTGAGCTTGTAACCATAGTTGTGGTGCTCAACTGCTGCCCCGATAGTTGCAGGATCTAACTCTGACTGTCACGGCATTTTTGATGCAGGTGAAAATGCTTGAGGTCCATGTACTTGTATTTAGATGCACGTTAAGGACTACAGCTGGTTAAAATTTCTGCAGCCCTCCACAGCCATGCCTCCTGTAATCATTTCTTGATTTTTGAAGGTTGAACCCAAACAATTATTAGCTTTCAACCATAGTAGAACATAAAACATGATCTATGTGCACTTATATTACAGACAAAAAGTATGAAAGTTCCTAAATGTGATTGCAGTTAAAAGGACAAGAGTGAAGATGCAACCAGTGTGGTTGTGCATCAAACCTTGTTTATGCAAATGCATTGCCACTGAGAGCAGTGCCTTTGTGTGATCTGCTTCACTGTAGGGGCACCACGCTTGCATTCTAGGATTTTTGCAAAATCTGCTTCATGTTAGTAAACATACAGTTGCATCTAACAAGCCATCTTATGCATTTGCAGGTGATCGGTGGAATAGGCAGGTAGTGGCTGGGCTTAGCATCATAAAGACTAGACATCCTCATCGGGTGAACAGTGGATTCTCCACTTCTGGTCAAATGAACTGGATCGACAGCGTGAAAATATTGGTTCAGCCAAGATTAACCCATACCAACTCGCTCAGGCTTCCATTCTTTTGTGAAAATATTGATTTTTTACAGAGAATGATTAGACTTCTTTCCTAACTGATGGTGTTAATAATAGAGGTGAAATTATTTCACCCGACAGAAATGTTTACTGGCATCACTGCAGGTCAGCTGAAAATGACAAAGCTGCTTGGTGTTCACTCGAGATACCCAAATGCAAGACTGGCTTCACCACTGTGCCACTATTCTAGTGGAAAGGAGGTTTATTTACAATAACGCAAGCTTGGTGTGCTTGAATAAAGTAGTGGATGATGGAAAGCTGTATTTCTGGGCACAACTACACCTTTATCAAAGTTGGTTCGATTTGTCATGCGGCCACAATGGCTAAATTGTGCTCTATGAGCATGCTCAGATGCTTTCATGTACTCCCCAAAAGTGGGTGAGCCTGTGCACTATGTAGTGCTGGCTTGTCTGAACAACTGAGTGGTTTGTTTTCTTGTGTACATGTGTCCATGTTTTGTTCTTACTTAACCCTTGTGCAGGGTGGCACACCGGATCGTAGCATCTGGTCAACTTCCCTGCCTTCCTGTTTTCTCGCTCTCTCATCTCTCTTGGTAGTTGGACATTTCTGGCATGCAAAATTTGAAAAAAAATTGGACTTTTCAGTAGCTACCTAGGTATTATTTGCTCAATAAGTAAATACATAGTTGCTGTACTTCTTACGTGTGTTTGCCTTGCAACAACATAGAAGTAGTGATTTTCTTATGCATGCCCCCACCATTTTTAGTAAAAGTTAACAATGAAAGCTTTTAAAAATAGCTGCACAAGGCACAATTCAAAAGTCCATGTTTTGCATTAGCCCAAGTTTGTGCTGTATAACTTCTAAAGGCCTATGTTGCTGTTTTATGAAAGTATTGAAATTTGGTAAATCAAGTGAGATTGATTGATGTGTGGAGTTTAAGGTCCCAAAACCACCATGAGAGAGACTGTAGTGGAGGGCTCCGAAAATTTTGACCACCTGGAGTTCTTTAACGTGCACCCAAATCTGAGCACACAGGCCTACAGCATTTTTTCCTCCATCAAAAATGCCGCCGCAGCCGGAATTCAATCCTGCGACCTGCGGGTCAGCAGCCGAGTACCTTAGCCACTAGACCACCTAATTGCTTCTTGACGTATTGCATCCTGCACTCAAGAGAAACCGTAGTGGTTAGCCAAAATAGGTACGTTCTAGCCAGCTGTTGTGCAGTGGAATAAGAGACTAAAATAAAGAAATGTGCGAAGCACATCTCAAAAAGAAAAAATAAGGCGCGGTGGTCCTTGCCTGGCATGCATCACATTTTGGCCTTGGGTCCAAGAATGCTGCTGCTGAGGTTATTGTCTATTGAAAAAGTGGGCACTGAGCTGCTGTCATGAGTACTATGGCACACGTAAGCAAACATGAATATGCTTCCCTTGATGGTAAGTGGCGACCTGTATTGTTCTCTGACTTTTTTGTGATGCAAATATTAAAGAAATGGATGCGACACACCTACCGTTCGATTCTCCCCGACTTCAATTCTGTGCAAGGCAAGAGGATTGGGCAAATCGGTAGGTTTTCATGTTGTCTTCAGTTTATCTCTAGTACGTGGGCTTCTTTGTGTGTGTAAAAAAAAAAAAGCCGTGTTTATTGAGCACTGTTTTATATTTTTTTTATTTTTTCAATCTTGTCTTTGCCACGATTGTTGATCAGGCCTTCGGTTGTCAGGATGCCCCTCTTGATGTAGAGGGCAGAATGTACTTCGTGCTGATCTTTATTGTTCTACCAGCAAAAGATGAGCTTCTGTGTTGTCAGACATTTATTATTGCTAAAGGCAGGCTTCCAAGAAAAAGAGCAAGTTCTGGATGAACTGATCAGAAAGATAGATAAAGTATGTATCAACACTCTAGAATAACTTTCCAAAAAAACAAAGTACGGAGTGTTACGAATATGTACAACATTAATTTTAGTAAATCCAAGGCAGGTAGTTTTTCCATGAACAACAAAAAAAATGTGACATTACTCTTAAGTTGTCATGCAAAGTAGAAACTATAGAAATTATTCAATATTTCCGAATCACTAGGAATGTAGTTTTCACAAGATACACTTTTCGTCCGCCGCACTAATGTAGTGGTTATGGTGCTTGGCTGCTGGTCTTGGGTTCCATCCTGGCCACAGTTGTTGCATTTCGATGGAGACAAACTGTTAGAGGCTTTTGCATTGTACAATGTTGGTGCATGTTCAAGAACACCAGATGGTCAAAATTTCTAGACCCCTCTATTATGATGCACCTAACATTTATATTGTGCTCCTAGCACGTAAATCCCTGTAACAAAATATCCTAAAATCTTCGGTAATAGCTTCATAGCTTCTTTATTGCAGTTTTTTTTCTTGTATGAATTGTTTTTATTGTATGCACAAGTATTTACTTTTTTTTGTGCCCTGAATA